TGCTACCATTGCTTGTGCTGTTTTAAGAAGGTGTACTATCTGGGGTTGACCAGATATATTTTGCCCTGGTTTTTGTAGGATAATTTGTTTACTTTGTTGTGGTGAAGCAGTTCTCAATACTGTTGCTCCAGGGGCAGCGAAACGTATTTGTTGGCCTGGTTGTACATTTTTCATCCTAATTGTATTAGCTGTAGTTTGTGGAAGAATTGGTACATTGTTCATGCTTATTTTTGGCGTAGCAGCAGCTGCTGCTGCTAAGGCAGCAATTCCTGACATAGCAGCTGGTGTTTGACCTGCCACTGTAGTATTAGAAGTTGGAGCTTGTTCAGTAGCAGTAGTTGCTGTTGGCGTCGTTGTAACTAAGGGAGAACGAATTCTGATAAGATTTCCGGCTACTCTTGGTGTCAATGGACTCGATGGTTTTGTTACGCTTTGTGATGGTACTGGTTTTTGAACTGGGCTTTGCACAGTTGACTGAACTCGGACCGGAGTTTGTGGAGGTATGGACGGTCTAATAGTGGTTGGAGTTTGTGGAAGCTCAGGGGCAGCAGTAACAGGTGAAGATGTAGCAGAATCAGTTGCAAGAGTAACCATTGCCGATGTCGTAGTAGGTGTTGCTGTGTTTGCTGGAGTGCTGACTGTAGGAAATGTTCCAGTTGTCGCTGAAGGCTTACATTTTTGTATTTGCAATATGTAGTACTGTGCAGATGGAACTGGTGTCCATTGAATTTCCAATGCTTGCAAACTAGCCCTAACTAAATTCAATTTCGATGGTGCAGATGGTTTACCGACTTCGAGGTACCATAAATCTTTACAACAAACCTGAGGATAAAAGTAAATCATATTTTATAACAGATAAAAGCATTCTCGAATTAAAAATAAATTATAAGGACTAACCCTAACCTGATTGTTCCAAGCTTTGCGATATCCATCTCGACCAGACCACACATAAAGTTTATTATGCATTCCAATCGCACAGTGACCAGCACGTGCACGAGGAACATTTTCCTCCAAAGTATCAACTGTTAACTGTTCCCATGTCCAAGTTTCTAAAATAATGTTGTCAATTACGAAATCATGCATTAACAAATATAACATCAACTTACCTATATTTAAACAAGCCAACGTGTTTGTGCATTTCCACTCTTTTTCATGTGTTGCAACTTTAACATCATCAACAACAAGTGGTACCCATCCTCCAAAAACGTACATTCGATGACCAATTAAAGTGGCAGTATGAAGAGAACGGGGTAATGGAATAGGTCCATGAACCACTGGTTTGTGCCAAGTCATTGAATCAACATCAAGATACCATAAATCACCCAAACGACAGCCACTCATACCACCATAAATCACTAAACAGGTTTTTCCTGTCTTACTATCAGTATAAGACACTCCAGTATGAGACTCTCTAGGTGGTGGTGCATGCCCATTTGTTTGTGGTACATCCCAAACTGTTCCTCCATTAGGAAGTAGTTCAAGGGTATATAGGTCATTTAAATATCTTGGTATATTATTCTTATGATCCTCACTGTCATTAGCCAGTCCTCCAAAAAGAAAGACTCTATTACCAATAAGGGTGAAACTATGTCCTAATCTAGGACATGGTGGGGAATCATTTTCCGGTGGTCTGGGTCTTAATTTTTTCCATTCCCATCTAACTGCTTGAAGTTCATAAAGCTCATCTGAATACTTTCCATATTCAACCATACCACCAAAAACCAAAATACGGCTTCCATCAACAACAAATCCATATGCAGCACAGCCAGGTGGAATATCACCTTTTGTCGATGGTACAAACCATTGATTAGTTGCTGCAAAAAGTAATAATGTGTATAAGTAGGAAAAAATTTTTCAGTACATGATATACATTTGTAATGAATTAAAAAATCTTTAATTATTTGAATATGTTACAGAAATTTACATAATTTTTATTTGTAAACAAAACTTTTAAATAAATTCATAGAATGATATTAATCAACTTAAAAACTAAGAAATAATATTAAATTTATTAAATATTTATAATATAAAAAATCTTATATTTACATATTTAGAATTACATTTTTATTAAGGTATATTATTATATTTATTATCTTTATGTCATATAAGTAACTTGAATAGTATCACTAAGGGAAACATTTCAAAATTAAGTACAAAATATTCGTTACAGTACGCATGCGTATAATTGTTGGCAACATAGTAAAAGAAATGCTATACGCATTCATGATATGGTAAAGATGTGAAAACCTAAAATGAAAGAGTGGGAGGAGAAATAGGAACAGAAAGAAAAAAGAAAAGGAAGGGTGAAGCGTGAACGTGGAATGACGGGAAACGCGGCGCGTTGCATATCGTGGTGGGGCGTATAAGACAGCAATGGCCGCTCCCGTGCGTATAAACATGAAAAATGACAGATCGCACTAATTCTACGCATGAAATTAACCCAATGTCTAACAAACAAGACTTATAAAGACACGTATAGTAAAGGTACATTTAATGTATATGGAACATATGATAATAAGACATCTGACATAAACAAAATTCATGGTTTTCACGATGATCCGGCCGGTGACCGTTTTGTCAATGTATGCCGCCATCTTGGATCGCGGGAATCATCAAGAACGGCGCGAAAGACGCACAGCAAGGAAGCAACTTACTCGTGTTATAGACATGAAGCTCGTCAACAATGCCCTCATTTCCACCGCCGAAAACGACCATAAGGTCCTTAAGAGCAACTGCCCTGTGTCCATGCCTAGGTCTTGGCTGGGGTCCGGACGGATTTGTGATCCGCTTCCACTTTAGCATGGGTGCCGCCATGATGACCATCGATCACATCATTTTTTCATACCGCGCAGCTATGCACCCACCGTGTTACCCCTAGAGCAGTGCAACGCCCGATGGTTTCGATGATAGTGTGTCCTTTTCTTCAAACTTTTCTATCTTCGATGTCCACGATACAACAGTTTGGATAACTTCGAAGGTTCACACACCCAACGAGAACTTACTACTTCTTGATATTCTTAGCACTGTCAATATCGTACGTCTTGATTATAACCTACCTTCGGCTATTGTTCTTTATTAATTAATTTGACTTAACAAAATGGTCCATACAAATATAAAGTCAGATGAATTTTTTTCGGTGGGAATCATGAAAATTCTACGCGATTTAGAAGACGTCTGTAACGTAACACGTACACAGAACGCACACCGTGTATTTACGTTCACGATGTTTACGGCACTGATTTCATGTCTTCTAGTGTGCTCACTCAGTATTCATCAATGATCCACCCCCGAATATATTTTTCACGCTACTAAATTATTATTATAGTTAAATAATGGTTTTTTAATGTTATATTTTAATCTAAATCTATTCCGTACAGTTTCTTATAATATTTGTAAAATAAGTTTATCTGTTCGTTACTTTTAAAGATTTCACAAACCAACAAAAAACGACGCAACAAAAGAATTCCCTATGTATCCAGATTTCCCTAGATAATCATAATACAAATTTGTTAGATATGATAACTATGTGATAAGAAATTTGTAATATTTACTGTAAGAATATATTACCGTCCATAATTTTGTGATTCGTACAAGCGAGCACTATATATTTAATGCACTATTGTATGAAATTTGTCCTACAATCGCATATATTACCAGATATGACTAGAGAGATCGCCGATGTAATGTTAAAAAAGTCGGGCAAAAAATGCTCGCTAGGAATATAGGCCTCTAGCGGCCAGCGGCCAAACTATACGCACATTTCTTCTTCGGTGATCTTGATAGGAGAAACATGCGTATTCACGACGAGAGGGGAAATATGCATTCCTACCACACATCAGCGAAGGGTAAGGCCAACAAAAAATAAACATTTCTTAAAAGTTTAATGAAATATTAGAAATAAATTGCTTTTTTTGCATTGATTACAGAAACAACAATCAGGATAATCACAGAATAACAAGCAGTCAGCGGCAACCATCTTCTTCGAAATGATTATTATAAAATAATTATATAAAATGTATTTAAACAGATTTTGCATAAGTCAGAGTAGTTTAACAGCATTTTACAATGTTGTTACTTTTCGTTTTCATTATCCAATCATATAAAAATCAAAAAATGAAATCAGGAAATAATTAAGAACACGCGAAATTTAAAGACGAATAGTATAAAAAAAGATCGCGAAACTACTTTTGAAAATTTCGAGAAATGATCTCAAATTTCAAGAATTATCGAGATAATATCACTTCTTACAAAATTATATTCTTCTGAAACAAAACCTATATCTTGAGGAAAAATTCTTTCGGGGCGTCGAAATTTTCAATTTCGAAAAGCTCTTAAAATGTAGCTAAAACAGCTCTTTTCATATCAAAATGACGATCAAAATGTTATAAGTGCTCATGGTATAGCGCAGCGTTGTCACTCGTTTTTGAATTGCCACTAGCTGCCTGCATATGCACGGTTCTCCTACTATTAATGCTGGAGGAAGAAATGTGCGTATAATTGGGCTGTTTCACCACTAGAGTAGGTAATTTGTGAAACACGTTTGGCTGAATTTCTTCCATGAACATCGGCGGTCACCCCACTCATTTCTGACATTACCAATCAGCATTTATTTGAGGATTTTACACATGTTCAATAAAATGATTCATTTAATAAGATTTAGCTATTGCTTGTACGTCTTAAATATAACCATTAATAATATTGAAGTTACAGCACTGTACAAAATAATTAATATATTCTCTTCATCATTCAACCATAATTGCTCAATAAAGATAATGTGAATTATACTATAATTGAGAACTAAATTGCTTGTATCTCCCTTTATAAAAATAACATAAAAAGCAATTGACTAAAAACATTTCTAGTTATTACTTTTATTGCGTATTTTTAAAATGTAATTTACATGTCTACTGTTCCAAAATAAAATACGATTAATAACAATAATGTTACACAAACTTCTTCTCTATAAAGTAATAGAGGAAATATTTAAAAGTTATCTCTCATCATATTTACAATATCTTTTGTAATGACATATTTTTTATCTATAATACAATTGAAAAATTACAAGACAACGATATTGTATTACAATATACTGTATTATTTGTAGCAGTAACGATAAAGATATTAAAAATTTATCGGAATTGAACAGGACTTATCCTTAAGCCGATACATTGTTTTCCGATTAGTGCAACTTCACAAACTTTGCATACTGTATCTTTAAATTGAGGTAAATAACTTGCACCGCATAATGGACATTTGACTTCTGGTTTTCCTCTGTAAATTGGAACAAACGTGCTTGCACATAATGAAAAAGGATTATGTTCGTCGTACGCTAATTGATGTTCATCCACCGGATTTTTATCGCAAGCCTAAAAAAGAAAGAAACGCGGTAATAATCTTTTCCTGTACTTTATGTGAGATGGTTAATATACACGAAAGTATACATACCAGCAAAATCTTTCTAACTTGTTGTGCTAATTCAGGTTTAGGTCCCAATTCAAGTAATCTTCTTGCGAACGAAGCCGCAGTTTTGTAATTTTTTAATTTGAAGAACATATTTACAGCTATCCTTAGAGTAAGAATCTGGTGAACAGGTTGTAAATTGCAATGTGTAAAGTAGGCTGCCATTTCACAGATTCGTTTTTGTTCAGCTAAAGTAGCTTTAGGTAGATTTTTCCTTTCAGTCTCCATTTTTAAACCTAGAATATACTCTCTACAAATTTGAATCAATTCCTGTGCTTCTATAATATCTTGCCTCGTGTCAACAACCAATAATGGCACACTGAGTAGAATCGCTTGCAATTTTTCTATCGCTTCTGGAAACTTGCCGCCAGTTGTCAAATGATAGCATACTTGAAGTCGTTGAACTAAATCGGTAAGATGCAATCCGATTGCAGGGAGACTGCTTTTTGGATTTGTATCTTTCAAATTTCTTTGAGGATATCCATATAAAGAAGGTATATTGGGTAACGACGCAAATGATGTTCTAGCGCGTACGAATGTATTCATGAAAAGACTTTGATATGCTTCAAATTCAACTACACCAACTTGATCATTTAGCAATCTAAATGCTGTTTCTAGTGATCCAGCTAGTATATGATCTACAACGAATTGCGAATTGTTTATCCAATGTTGAGTTGGTGATATTCCCTTAGTTGGCGGTGAATAATAGCCGTCTTCCGTCGCAGCCACTGGAGTTTCGAGTTCCGGCGGCAAATCTACGTCCTCCACATCCCATCCTGCACTTTCTTCGCCCTCAGGAACGTTTTCATTTTCGATACCTTCCTCCTCGTCTATTCCTAACTCTTCGTCATTGCCCCACCCTTCAGCAGGTACAGCGTTATCGTCTTCCGGAGCCAACGCAGCAGCTACCTGACTCTTTCCACGTGACATAACCGCTCCCTCGAAGAAACCTTTTGATACTGTTAATAGTGGCCAGTTGTTTTCGGCCTGTTGAATCGGTACCGGAGGTCGAAGATATTCTGCTCCTTGTTCAAGAGCAGAAAGTTCTTCGCTCATAGAACTATATTGAACGTCGTCTTCTGGAGATGATATACCATGAATTTTCTCAGTTACATAAGCTAACGAAGCTTGACCAGAATTCTGTAACATAAAACGGTAAAAAATAAGTCGTGGGAGTAAGAAAAATTTGAATATAAACTGAGTTATATAAATACCCACACGCAATATTTTTGCACGTTCATAAACGTCGCCAAGTAACAAGCTACCCTGATATTGCCCAGAAACGTCTTTCCTAATTTCTGCAATTTTTATCATCTTACGTAATTTCTCTAAATTACCAGTTATAAGATACAGGAACGCTAATTTTTCAAAATTCTTGGTTCTTTGATAGCACATTTCGACAACTTGATGATTGCCTTGTAACAGGGCAGCCTGGGCCAAGCTTTCCCAACTGGATTTTTCATCAAGCGATCTCGCGGCTTCTAAAGCGACTTCGATATTTCCGCATTCGAGGGCAAGGCCAAATCTTGTTCTTTCATCTTTAACAAAGTGCAAAGCAACCTCGGGATATCCCTTCTGTTGCAAGTATGCAATTATAGATTGACCAACGAGATTTGCGTTACGAACCATGTGCAAAACATCTTCGTATTTCCTATTGATCAAGGCCAATTTAAATTTATATTCAGTTGGATCTATTCGAAGAATCCTTGGTCTACATTCTCTGTCCAAGCAATAAACTTGATTGCCTTTAACTCGCGTTACGTATATCGGGAGGTCTAATGTGCGTATAATACCATGATCACCATTGTTGATTGCATATTTGATGTGATTGCTAGTGGTGTAAATGAACACTCCTGAGTCGTCCCAAGCTCCCGACTTTACCCTAGTGTTTTCGTGTACAGAGCACAAGGATTCCAGACGTCGATTACAAATGTTAACATTATGTTTCGAGAGTAAAGCGACGTGAGACATATCGCTAGACCACACGACATATTTACACTTCGAAATTTTTACTTCGGCTAATGTTCTTTTCTGTTGAACGTCAAAGAGCGTTACTTGATCAGCATCACGTAAAAGGAGCATTCCAGTACCAGCGTAAAATATTTCGTCACAGTTTGGGATCTGCACCTTTTTTGTAATTTCGTTCTTCAAATTTTTAATGACCAACTGCGATAAATAATTAAAAAATGTTTATAAAATTTCGTTATTTTAAAGAAGATAACGTTTCACCCTGAATACATACCGAATACGCCCTATCTAACACCGCAAAACGATTTCTGGCAACCCAGATGGCGGTGACGCCCGAAGCCCGCTTCGTGTCAGCATCAGTGTTTGAATCACCTTCGCGCGGTATCAAATATAGATCGTAAGTGCTATTTTCGA